GAAAGCATATTGGTGAGCGTTTTGTCTGTTGAGGATTTTCCTTTTGAGAACAATATTCTCTGAAATGGGAGAAAAAAAAGAAGACAGAAAATGATGCTATATATACATATAGGTGTGAACTCAGCAAACCAGTACGCCAAAGTTAGATTGTTTATGATCAATTGTTATGAAGAGGAGAAAAAACGTATGTGGAAAACGATAAAGAGGAAGGTGGAGAGGAAGATGAAGAAATGAAGGGTGAGGGAGAGAAAAATAGGCAGGAGAGTTGAAGAGTTGAGGAAAGAGCAGGAGACAGAGGAAGGGAAGGGGTGTCTATTATTGTCCATATGGAGCAGATGTATGCAAAAGATTAAGATAAAAAGTTGAGTTACAGTCACAGTGAGTTATTACGATAAAAGCCCCATTGTGCCAGGAACTAGATACGGACAACAGTTATAGTAAAAAGCGATTTTGAAAAACGTAGGCCACTCCAGAAGACCTACCAAGCACACAAAGCGTAGCAAGGGATCAACAAAATGTGAGAAAGAGTTGGCCGTAAGTTTAACATTACTCCGAAGCGAAGAATGATGACCACCCCAGCCAAATGTCAGACAAGCAATACACATGGTAAAATGTAGGTCTAAAATGTCCCGAGACAGACTCTCCAGACGGAGTTAGCCGCAACCAGCACATTTTTTTACAGGCAGCGAACCAGCATAAAGGCCATGCTATCATGAGTTTCATATTTGCACACCCGATCCCAGCGCTGAGAGCTTATATGCTTAGCTCGGGAGCTTTGCGAACAACAATTTATTTTTTTCTTGTGTTTTCCCTGCGTGTTTGTGGGAGCCTATGTGCAGCCATGAGTGTTTCATAACGGTTGCCTCTGGTGCGATGGATGAGAAAGGGGTAAAAACAACCCAAAAAGCAAAAACAAAACAAACAAAAACACAATATGTCTACGAAAACAAATGAAAAAATACCAAGGAAACAGACTTCAGTGTCTGCATTCCTTTGCTGAGTGCACGTTCAGGATGACGCACAGAAAAAGGGGAAATCCTTTCCATAATAGGCATATCACATATATATGTTGAGAGCTTGTGCTCAGCCAATGTTCGTAATCAGCTAATGCGACAGGCGTTGAGTACTGAGGATTAAGCCATAAGCCTACCATTTCCTTTTCAGGTGCTCTTCAAGAATTAAAAAAGGAAACATAATCCCAACTTAATTCTTTCTTATAGCGTTGCGTTTATGTTTTTGACGAGTTTACTCACAGTGCAGGTAAAAACTGATGCATCTTCTCTTTTTGATCAAAGATGTCGTCAGCTGGACGAGTCGAGGCAAGTCAAAGGCCAGTTATATCACCCAATGTTTTCCGCAATGAAATGCTGAAATCGTAAATGCGTCAGTATGTTCCAAAAACTAGCCGACTGAGACGCCATTAGGGAGACATAAAAGGGGGTAAAGGGGGTGGGGTGAGGGGCAAAGAGTGTAAATTCTTCTGTCGTTATAAATGAATGTTAAAAGCATCTAAACACACTTTGGTATTCAGATACTCGCCCTCTTATACGTTCCCATCCGGCCCTCTCTTAATGCTTACTGTGAAGAAGCAAAGGTCATAATATACCTAATTTTCTTTGTTACCAAATATATAAAATCAGTGTATGACGCACCTTCAAACGGTTTTAGCCCTATACTGCCCTTGGTTAAGCACACTATGACATAATAATCACCACCGCCGCCAGACGCAAAATGCTTCTTTTTTGTGTTTGTGATGAATCCCATTCTTTTTTCTGTCAGTCCTCGTTCCTCTTATCGTCGCAGAGAAATAAAGTGTGCCTTGTAGAGAGATAACCCCTGGAAAAGCACGCGCTGCCCTTTGCTGGGCTGTGTGTGTAAAGGAAACGCGGAACTAAAATAAAGGCCGTTGTGCTGCGGCAAGGAAAACTACAACTATTGAAACGGCTTTACATGGATCTCAGCTCTTTGAGGACGTAGTGAACACATAAAAGATAAAATGCCCTAACTAACAGCAGCAAACCAAAGGCAACGATGCACACATTTCAAACCATCGTACATAAGAAAGACACAGGAATTTGAATATTTTGTAGCATGCATATTTATTTCAGGCTTTTTAAGTTTCAGAAAATGTATGAAGGAAGCACACTTGAAATATGTGTCTGAATAATGAAGTTATAATATTATTTCTTTTTGAAAGTATAATAAAACAGGTTGTCTTCAGGCGTTGTCGAATGACCAGAATGCATGTCTTCAATGAAATAACCAAGTTCCTTGAGATTTAGCCTATTTCATTAGGCACTCACTTCTGTTGATCGTTTGATGTTACCAACCGTCGTCTCTTTTAGTTACATCGGTATTGGGAGATTAGATATACTGACAATGTTTTGTGAAATAAGTTGCCCCCGCCTACCTCTTTCCTGATACCTAGACTCCATTATTTCAGCAGCTCCAATACGTCAAACAACCTCCGTATGTACGCAAGAAGTTGTGAGTGTAGCAAAGCTAACAGCGCCTTCCCACTACTTGTAAATACATGTCGTGTTTTTCAATCGCATAAAAATGGGTATGGGGCAAAAAATTTTAAAAAAGAAAGAATGAAAAAAAGAAAAGAAGATACACGTCGTGGAGCTTGCAACGTGCCAGCTTGATAAATGGAAAATATACTATAAAAACGTTTTGTTGCCTGAAACCCACGAACCAGCAACGAAAATCTCTGTGGGTGCCAATGGGATAATTATTGGCACACTAGCCAACGTTCTTGTCGGATAGGCAAAATTACCAGGGTATGCACCCACTCTACCCTGGTCTACACCCTTTCCATCCCCTCACCTTCTCTCTTGCTTGTCACTGTGTTTCTCCTTACTACCCTTCTCTGTCTGTCTGTCTGTCTGTCTGTCTGTCTGTCTGTCTGTCTGTCTGTCTGTCTGTCTGTCTGTCTGTCTGTC